GATTAATATTTATAAAAGTAAAATAATATATTTTCTTTATTAACTTTTTTTTTAGATTTTTATTTATTTTTCTTTTTTTCTTTTTAGGTTTTTAAATTAAAAAAATAAAGTAAATAATATAATCTTTATAGTCTTTATAAGACTAATAAAAAAAAAAGAAACCTTAAAAGTAATAATATAATATTAAAAGTTATAAAAAAACTAAAAAGAAGATAAAAGGTTAATAAAAAATAAAAAAAAAAAATAAAAATAAAAAATAAAATAAAAACTAATAAAGACTTATAAAAGAAATTAAATTATTTAAAATAAACTAAAAAAACTAAATAATAAACTAATAAACTATAATAAAATAAATCTAATTAAAAATACTTTTTATAAAATATTTTAAAACTATAGGCTTAAACTTATATAAAAACTTTAATATAAAAGAAGATATAATACTTTATAAGTTCTTAATTATTAAATAAAATATATTAATAAATATAAAAAGTAAAAAAAGTAAAGAAAAATATATATAAAAGTAAATAAAAATTATAATATTAATAGTTAAAAAATTAAAAAGACTAATAAAAGAATTAAAAATCTTTTTTTAGTTAAATATAAAAATAAAAGTTAATAAATAAGATATTATAAAGTAGTTATATAAAGTTAATTAATAAAGAATAATAAAATTTAATAAAAAAAGGTTATAAATATAAAAGAAAAGAATATAAAAAAGAAAGAAAAGGTAAAAAGGAAGAAAAAGAAGATATATTAATAAAGATAAAAAGATAATATTAATAATAAAAAAAAAAAAGAAAAAGAAAAAAAAAATACCTTTTATTCTTTATTAATTATTAATTAATAACTAATAAAGCTTTAAATTACTTATTTATATAAAGTCTTATTAATTATAAATAGAATTAAAATAATAACTTATTAATTATATATTAATTAATAAAAAATAATTATAATTATAAATATTTAAATAAAATATAATTAAAATTATTATTTAGCTTTTATTAAAAGCTAATAATTATAAAAAAAATATATTTATTTATTTATTAAATCTTATTATATAATATAAGTTAATAATAATAAGAATTAAAAATAACCTTAAAAGTATTATTATAATATTCTTTATAGAATATACTTTAGACTTATATAAATAAAGTATAGAATATTAAAAGTAAAAAAGATAATAAATAAAGATAGAAATTAAAGACTTTTAAAGAAAAAGGAAGGTAAAAGTATTATAAAAGCTAGAAGGTTATAATAGTAGTTAAGCTTAATTAGCCTAAAGATTTATAAGGCTAAATATAACTTTTCTTAATATAAATAAAAATAAAAAAAAAAGAAGAAACTAAGAGGTTAAAAGGTTAAGAAAATAATAAACTTAATTACTTTAAAAATATATAAAATTAAATATAGCCCTTTTAATATAAATAAAAACCTAAAGAAAGAAAAAATAGTTAATAGGCTTAGCTAGCTAAAGTAATATAGGCTAGATATAAGCTAGAATATAAATAAAAACCTAATATATAGTATTAAAAGGGGTTTTATTAAACCCTTATATACTTTAAAATAAGATTATAAAGAATTCTATAAATATAAATAAGGTTTTCCTTTAAGTATTCTAGTTTTTCCTTACCTTATAATTAATAAAGGTACTAAATAGGTTATTTAGTCTAATTAGTATATAAGAATTATTATTATTAATATAAGCTATTTTAATTTATTTATTATTCTTAATATAATTTTTTACCTTTTTATAGAAAGAAAGAATTATATCTTTAAAAAGAAGTTAATAAGTAGTTATAATAATATCTACCTTTAAAACCTTATTAGCTTTAATAATAAACTCTTATAAATAAAGAGATTAAATCTTTTTTAAATAAAAGTAATAATTAACTAATAGCTTAGTATTATAATAAGCTAAAACTAGCTTTACTTAAAAGCCTAAAGGCTTTTAGACTACTTTTATATAAAAGGTAAACTAAAGATTACTTATTAAATATTCTTAAAAAGCCTTTATTATAATATATTAAATAGCTTTAAAGAAAATAAGCTTTATATTTATAATAACTATTTTTTTTTATATAATATAGATAGAGTTTATAAGTTTTTATACCTTATTAAGACTTTCTTATAGTATTAAAAAAAGTATTTTTTTTAAGTATTTTTTAAAGATTCTTAATAAAAGCTAAACTAAATATATACTATCTATATATAAATATTATCTTTAAATAGGTTTTATAACTATATTTTTAATATTTCTATTTATAATTATTATACTTATAAGCTAAGTACTTTTTAGATTTATAAACTAACTAATTATTAAGTTAACTTACTTATTAAACTTATTTTTTATATTTTAGCTTATAAGTAGGTATAAGGTAGGTTAGGCTTAGTATTTACTTATAAAGATAAAAGTTAATTAATAAGAAATAATAAGA